GCATTGAAAAACTTGGAATTATTCACGAAAAGCGCTCGAGTCGTTAAAAGGAGGACGATTTTTCTATTTGCACTACTGCTTGTATAAATTATTTTATGTAATCCCCTTTTTGCATCCGGATCCACTGTCTATTCATAAAACACGCGACCCAACGTTCACCATCCCTACGCCATTTTGATTAGACAGAAGAAGCGAGAAAATTCGCCGGAATTCAAATTGTACAGCCTTACCGAAGACAATTAGATATGCATATTTTATGATCTATACTGTGTATAATTTATCAAAAATACTTTCCACCTCAGATCTACTTTGTTGACACTCAATTACTGGCGGCTGGGTCAATTGTGGCCCGTAACAAAATGTCACACACGCCCTATACACACACACATAAAACGATATTTAACTCCCATACACGAACAGATCGGTGATTTTGTTCGTCGATGGGTCACCGATGACCCGGCCAAAGGCACGTAATGGTTAAAAAAAAATTCAGTTCGTCTTATTGTCGGGCGGTTCCGAGGTCTTCAAAGGAGATCGGGGTGAGAAGCGTTGTTTGTTTTGCGCACCGTTCTCCGCCGTTGTCCCCCATCCAACGTCAGTTGGAATACTGAGAAACAAATCATCGTGGATTTGTCGGCGGAAGGAACCGGCGGATTAGAGCCTCCTGTCCGCGTGTATTTAACACGACCAGAGAATGATCGTTTGAAAACATAGTTGAGGATTGTCCTCAATGCGTGAACCCTGGCCGCCCCTTAAATCATTCGGTATAACTTGGAAAAACATTCACGGAAGGTTGGGCAGAGGGTAAAAATAATTCTAAATTAAGAAAGTCTTTTTCACCACTGAAATCATTTTTCGTGTTTTAATACAAGCTACCCATTTCAATTTGCAAATCGAAGTCATTTTCTATGCAAAAAATTGTGATGATCGAACCTACATTAACCTAAGGAGGACGAATTAACGCGACGTTTTGCGTTTTGCATAGCATCAAGTACATACTTTTTACCTGGTGGCCCCCCTTTTTGTGAATATTTACTTTCAATTACGATTATAATTGTTTTGCACAATTACAAGTGCAAAGTACCTATGTAATTGCAAGATAATTACATTATAATTGTGAAATGTAATTGTAATTGCAATTGTTCTGCGTTTACATTTTGCAATTACATTTTCCTTGCAATTGCTCCGCGATTACATCTGGGCGATTACGTTGTAAGTGCAATTACAATCGTCACCGAAGTTAGCTACAATTACGATTACAGAAATTAATTTGTATTTGTCCTAGCAATTACAATGTAATTATAATTTAGATTTTGTAATTAGATTACATTTTTCCCAACTCTGGTTCCGAATCACTGAGCGACAATTGCGAAACCGCAGATGCCTTTTTGCTCTTCGCGAGGCTGCAAGACGGGAGTCCTGTTTCCCGCTGATCGTTCCGTTTTACTGCCTCGTATTCCGGCCGTATCCAAACAATCGTCCAATATTGACAAAATTCGGTGGCTCTGTCTGCGGTGTGCCCACGGTTCTTGGGCTCGTTCGCAACCAGTGCAGTGGCGGATCGAGAAATCTTTTTTTAAGGGTACAAATCCAGGAGCGTTTCTTTTTCTTTCCATTGAAAAAAAGTAAACGTCCAAGACATTCAAATTTCAAAAAATATGACCTCGAGAAAACGTTTTTGCTTAGCATAATAGTTATCCCTTCTAACCAAATAATATTTCACTCACATTTTTTTTTCTATTTTTAAAAACAAATGAGATATTTAAGGTTCAGTGAGACTCTCTGTATATCCATAAAGTTTAATAAATATGAGGATACGTATTCACGCAGGATGCAGATGGAATATTATCAATTGCGGATCCAGGAACCTTTTTTTTGGGGGTCGGGGGTGGGGGTGCAAAATGTGTAAAAATGCATAAGTACATTTTTTTGAATTATTTTCTACAATTATAAATGGCATAATATTTTTATATTTTATTATTTTTTGGTGGGGGGGGGGGGGGATCGCCACTGCGCCCTCCCTCTGGATCCGCCACTGAACCAGCCACTGAACGACCGTTTTACGAGTGTGGGAAAACCGTGCGCGCGGTGGACCGTCCTGTAAACCGTGTGTATAACCGCGGATCGGCTGGTTCCCGTGTAAAATAAACCGACGGGCATCGTAAAACGGCCACCGTTTCTCGGAAACAACGAGGACCACGCGTCGAACTCGACGCGTGAAATTAACTGGCGATGTATATACTCGGCGGCCTGGGCCAAGTTTCTCTCCGCGGCGAACGACTGTGTGTCCTTTCCTAATAGCTTCCAGTAACCAATTTTCTATTGTTATTTACGGTGGACGGGTTGGTCAGCTGGAGAAATTTCTGACAAGTGGTCGAGATAATTGATATTTCATGATTTTTGTGCCAGTTGAGTGGCAAGACGATTCTACTGAAAATTAAAATGGATGTACAGGGTTGCCCACAAGTCACTAGATAATTTAAAAATAAAATAACTTTTATATATTAAAAAATTCACGTAAGAGAGAATGCATTTGTAGACAGACGAGTGTCTAGGAGAAAGTCTTTGCAAATGTAAGAAAAAGGAAGTAACACCACTCGTGTGCACGTGTTTCAGGCGTGCAAAATCGACGACGAAGCACGGAGAATTTTAATTTATTCGATCCTTAAGTGTTACTGTCAACTAAAAATTGTTAGCGAATACAATCTCGTCTTTGTCCTTCGACATTCGGCCGCTTTCCGTTTCGAGTATTAGCCCGTTAATTTCTTCAGAATTTCCTCCATTCCGGCGGGATTGTCCTTGGGGACCTGTCGAGCATAATAATTAATGAGAAAGGAATGATTTTCCTATCCTGTAATTCAGCTTACTCCTCTGTCTTCTTTTTTTCGCGAACTTTTTCGCTGTCAGTCGAAATTTTCGTACATTAAAATAATACTTTCACCGATGATTAACTGAATTGTTCATATTCAACTCTATTAGAAATTTCAGTTTGTCTGTTTAATCAGGAGATTCGTCTTTCGTTTAAACCATAGAATGATTGCAAAATGTTCTAATTAATGCAATCTCGTTAATAAAGTATTCAATTACCATGTGTCCAGCTCGGTTGACCCAGTACATGGCGAAGTTACGATAAGATTTCGCGTAGCCCTCGATCACGTTACCAACGGCCAGAGGAGTTCTGGCAGCCTTCGTCCAAGCGTCGGCGTCTTTCCACTTCATCTTCTCCACCCAGAGGACTGTGCCTGAAGCATTGTATCAATAGAAAATGATGCTTCTCTCGAAAACTATTCCTACCGAGTAACTAGTTAGCAGGCAAGCAATAAAGGTGTTATGAAGGTATTGATGTACTTGCAGTGTGATTCTCACATTCATCGATTTTCCTTTTCTTAGAACTCAATTATTCAGTCGATTATGGTTGCAAAAATTAAACAAGAAAGTAGAAAAAAGGTTCTTAAGTATAAATTTTTAAGTGGTACAAAACAATTATTATGTAAACATGTAAGTACCTGGAGTGTCTACGATGAGGTCCAAGTGTCCAGTAAGCACCACTACCTTCAGATCGGTTTGATTCAGCAGAAGCTCCACTGTAAACAGAGATCTGGTGAATTAAAACCTTCGTTCTACATATTTTTGAGAAACAAAACAATCAAGTTCCATCCTCGTGAACCGTACCTTTATCGATAACGGGTTTCATGAAATCCCCTTGCAACTTGTCGAACACATTGTTAGATTGATCGCCGTGATTCACCGGTAATTTCAGCGCCTGTTTCACCGGACCGTTCATCAAACTCCTCAGAGATATATCCTGAGACCTGATCGAAGTTTCTGAAACGTTCAAACGTTCACGGTTGCCCGTAAAAACGAAATCTCTAACAAGACCGTTCCTCGTTCTCCCAACTTAATCTGTTCCTCTGTGTCAAATTGGCACAGTGATAAAAAATTAATACAATGACGGGATAAATAGTTAAATTTACAAACATTCTTGACGATTGGGATACTTTTCTAATAATTTTCTAAATTTTCTAATAATAATTGTCAAGTTTATCGATATTAAATATTTCGTAAGATTCCCCAAGATGTGTTATCGCTCGGTTAGACGCTTGATTACCTTTTGCAAGGGTGTTCGCTGACGAAAGCGCTTTCGAGGAATATTTTCCTGGTACCATTTTCGTCAGGATATTGTAGAAATCGATATTATTGGTGACTTTTAAAATCACGCTCTCGGTGTAACCCCAGAGGGTGGTGGCTGTCTCCCAGTTTCTGGCGTTCACAGATTTCTTCGTCATCTGCGCCCATTTGTCGATCTCTTTGTACCCAGCGGTGTCTACCATACCCTGTCGAACAAATTTTTCTGAACAACTTTCGTGCTGTGAATCGGCCTATTTATATGTCTAACGTATTAAGCTGGTGCGTAAATAGTTTTATTTTTCATCATTAATTTTCATAATAAATTTCACTTCTAGCAGAATATTATATCAAACAGACAACTATAGCCTTCGATACTAATAAAAAAAAAGATTTTTTATCACACTGTATTATCCGCCATCTCGGTTCTCACTTGAGAATCCATTATTTAAATGCGATCAGTAACCAAGAAACATTCACTGGTGAACATCATTTTTACCCACTGTTGATGAAGATCAAGAGTAAATATTTAAAAACTTCTAAATTCAATTTTTTTTTAAATATTTAAAAATCAACGAGCTGGTTGTACCAAAAATCGTGGGATTTTACCGTGCCGAGTAAGAATGGCGCCCACGTCATCACGGAATCAATGGGTGAGATCCAAGCGTCCCCGAGAGCGACACCTTTCAAGTTGCTTTTTATGGTTCCCGCCTTTTGCGCCTATAACAACAAACGTATGTTAACATTCGTCACCGACAGAGATCACAGGTTTGCGTCTGTGTTATACATTTAAATAATATAATACATTTTAATAATAGTACATTTACAAAATAACTACAGAAACTACACCTTTTTCTTCCGTTTCCAAGTAACGTACTACCCCTCCCCAACGTACTCCCTGTAATATATTGTATGTTGCAAAATAACGTCTCCAGAGATTCAAATTCCGTTAAATGAAAAAACAAACCGTGATCTCGAATTCATTTCATTCGACTGTTGAGTGATTTCGAATTCTCGTACGGTAGGCACACGCGAAAAGACGAAATTAGTATCCAGAATTTCAAGTGGAATCCCGAACGCTCACCTTGTACCAAGCAAGAGCGAATTCCGCGCCCATTTTGCCGCCGTACGACTCGGTTGTGATGTAAGTGGGCACAGTCGCAAATTTCGGTAATTCCTTCAGGAAGCCTTTCATGCACTCTACAAGATCGTTGGCGATCTGAGCATTCGTCGTCGTGTACGCATTCGGGGCCGTGGTGTAGCTGAAGCCAGTGCCGACTGGATTATCGATGAAGAGGACATTGTAGTCTTTGACCTGCAGGGCAAATTGTAATTCAATCGTTCGACAGTTTTTTTCGAAACAGTTTTATTTCGACTGGTGTATTATAGGATATAATCTATATCCTATACAAAAATAGTTCAAGAATAGTTCAAAGTATACTAAAAAAGTTTTTTTTTCTGTTAAATTTTTCTTTTTATTCAGATTCAAAATGATGACAACACGAAAATATGGATAATGTGAAACCCACTAAAAAAAACGTATTAATGCACCACATGCACCGTACGATACTTTTTTCTTACTGTTTCTACTTTTTTCAATGTCCAGAACATTTTTTTTTCAATTGTTGATTTAACTTTATTGGTTTTTAGGAGCGATGCAAATTTGGAATAGACTGAAGTCATTAGTTTAGTTCTTTAAAGATGTTACAATCTACGTATAATGTTTCTCTTTTTTCCGTTTCTCTTTGCATCCTGCGATATTCTATGCTTGTGTAAAAGAGAAAAATAAAAAAATGGTCCAAAATAAGCAACTCTCTCTTAAAAAGTGGCTGTTGAATGTCCGAAAAAAAAAGTTAATTTGTTGAACAGTGTAATCGTTTTTACGTACCCAGGTGTAATTTCTCGGTCTCAAGTCGACGTCGAGGGGTCCAAGTTCCTCGAAATTTCCGTAGGAAGTGGATGACGCGCCCGGGCCACCTTGCAGCCAGATGACCAACGGTTTATTGTAGAACGAGGGAACCTTTGCCGTGGTGTAGTAAAGCCACCAGAACATGTTCGCGTTCGGTCGTACTTTCACGTATCCCCATTTTTGCTCCCCTGGACCGAATCCCCTTTTTGCTGTTTTGGATAAAAGTGAAATTTATGCAGGTTGCAATGCAATTTCATCGAATTCGCCATTCACGATTATTTATTATTTTTCATCGAATCGTCATCACAATATCATGATTCATTTGTCGTTTCATTCCCCTTTTTGGACCTTTAATTCCGATTTCTTTCGAAACTCTTCATAGTTTATAAGGGATTTGAATAGAAACACCGGGCAGGATTTCATTTTCGCTGATATTCGGCTCTTCAGGGTAAAATCATCCCTTCATGGTTAATGTGTGCTTTTCTATTTTCCATAATATCTCGAAATCTGTAGTAGATAAAAGAAAACTGTTACAATGAACCTTCAATGGGTTCTTATGCTCTATAAAACTGTGCAATAAAATTGTTAAAAATATATTTGTTTATTTAATTATAAGTAAAAACAAATTTTTAGCAATTTTATTTCATAGTTTTGCAGAGAACAAGAAGCCATTGAAGTTTTGTCGCAACACTTTCTTGATATCTGCTATAATTTTCAAGATATACAGAAAAATAAAAAAACACGATTATGTAGTACTATTCAGACATGTATTATTACTACGGTGGTAACGTCCCCCAATGCAAAGTTCTGCCTGAATTTAATTTTTATACATTAGTATTTAAATATCTATGAATATGCATAAACTTCCGTAGCCCACCGATTAACTTCTAATGGTGTATTTTAACTTTCCACCCGTTGGAGATCTCCGAATGTGAAAGGGACATTCGACAACTATTAATAAACTTTTACTTCCAGCAGAATATTATAATCAAACGGACAAAATATGGTCTTTAAAAAAAAAATAGACTTTTTATCACACTGTATTATCCATTCTTACTTTCCAATTACTTTCGTTAATTTAATAAATGTGTATTGTAGGAATTTGTCACGTTCAGACAATAAAATCATGAAATTCTCGAAACGATATAAATTTGCAAGTCGAATTGTTGCTTACCGAGGGTCCCCGAGGCGAGGCAGAACGCCACGAGAAGTAACACATGGAAACCCGTCATTGTTGCCGGAATAACAGATGACCGGAGACTAAATGCTCATAGTGTCATTCTGGACATCGTCTTATCTACCATTAGCGACCGATCGATTAGATATACAAACAGCCGATTGAATTTTGTCGTCAAGATTTCACAATTTTTTGTACGGTGCCTGTTGCAATCAAGTTGCTGCAATCGGAAGAACCTGACAGAGATACGACGGTTTTCCAATTAATTATTTTCCACTCAGCGGACTTTACAAAATACTCGGAGTCTCTGCGCGTGTGTATTTCCAACGTCAGAACTCTTTCTCTCGACGTATCATTTTTCATCTCCATAATATCACGATTCATTTGTAGTCCTGTATAATTAATTTCGCAGCTAATTACTGTACTAGTCGTATCTTTAAATTGATCAGTAGCTTCTCTTAATTTTATATCACATGTTTTTTTTCTTAAGTTCAACATCACGTGAACAACTGTTTTATCGTTGTAAATAAACTTTTATACGACATTTTATAAAATCTTGCCCCTGTCCGGCTCTTGTTGCACATGTGGACCGCCCAAATATTACCAAGACGAATTTTTTGAATTATTTGTCTCATAATCAAAAATGTTCCGTCACTTCGAAACTGTTACGAACCACTGCAGCAGAGGTTATCATTCCATACAAACATATAAATTTATGCAAAAATAATGGCCATCGCGTTTAAATTAGTATTGTGGTCTTATCCCGTTTAATCGACGAGGAATTTAACTTTCGCCGAAACGGCGGCGATAAGATCCAAAAAAAAAAGAAAAAAAAAAAAAACCGAAATAGACACTTTCACGAGGAAATAATTATTTATATTATAATCGTTTCGCGCCAAGAACACTTTCGGCCATTTTTCATCAGATTCAGGATCGATCGATTCGCGCCGGTCGATTCCGTTTCGGGCGGACGGGACACACGGTAGCTCGTCTCCGTTCGGTTAATCTGGAATGACAGATTACCCGGCTAACCGCCGATTTACATTTCATTTACACCCGACGATCTATCGCGACGATTGACAAATCGGATCCCATCCCTGTGCTTGTGAAATCCCTCGGCGAATGGGAAGGTCAAGTTTGCGGAGAATTCCGAGGTGGCAGCTCCTTTCTCGGCCCTGGACGATGCTTACGTAATCGTGGATCGTGAAAAGGAAACGAACGAAACGGCGTAGGGATGTTCGATTGCGATTCGATTTTTTAAAAAAATCGATTCTTTCACTTAAAATTGCTCTTTTCTTTACTTAAATTTGTATATAACAGGAATGATTCTTATTGATTGTATCTTAATGGAACAATTAGATTGTTATATAATTTAATGAAAAAAAATGAAAGTAAAATTTTTTTAACGAAGGTTAAAATCTTTAATGTGTTTAAAGATCGCCCGATTATAACAGTTCCATTCAGGATAAGAAATTAATATATTTTATTAGATTCCTATCTTCCATGTAATATAACGTGAACATTCAAAGTTCATTAAATTATTATCACGTGTACAGAGATGAAACACGATAAATCTTGCTCTCCATTCGATTTATCAACGGTCACATCGCTGCAATTCTACGAGATATACATGTCTATAAAAACGACAAGTACCGATAATGATTCAACGACTTCTCAAGTGAATTCGTAAAAATTCGTTATCAGCCGACGTGATTGCGTACACTATCTCCGGACTTTCGAGAGATTGTATCGCGTGTCTTTGTATTCAAATAACATCGTTCAACAAATTTGAACTTTTTCTCGGGCTTCTAACATTCAATAACAGCTTCTTAAAAATTTCTGTGCCCCGAATACGAATCTGCAAACGATTTTTCGCCAGCACCCTTAGTTATAAAAAAATTTGATTTCGAAAAAAAAAAAAAAAAAACAATGTAAATTTTTAACTTTGAACATTTCCTATGTTCAAACAGTAATAGTTATTCGGTTGATCGTTGCCGTCAAATTATTCTATAAACTCAATCATAAAATATAAAATCAATCAATATTACAAAAAAAAATTAAAATAATAAAAAAAAATCGAGATATTTAGGTCGTTCATGGTAATAATAATAATATTCTGACTGCATCCTCTTCGGAATGTTGACCCGTCAGAGAATTCAGTTATTCGTTGGAAATTAGCGACAGGTCGCGTCACGTGACATTCCTGGTTTCGGAGATTCCGGAATTCTCCGCGTGTATCCTAATAAATCAGCGCCCCCCGTTCGCCATTTTTATGATAATTTGCATACACACATATATCCATACGGATGACCGACTTCCAGACGAATTGTCCCGGTTACTTTTTATGCAAATGTAAACCGGGTAGGGGAGGGGGGGGGAGGGTGAAGAAAAGGTATTTGTGAATAATTGCGAAAGGCGCGTTTTCACTTTATCCATTATCTCGACGATCATTCCCAGCCCGTCGAAACTTCTCGTGCTGGGAGTAACGACGTTACTGCGAAAGTGATCGAGACAAACGCACTAATTAACACATTCTTCGTGGTACCAGTGAAACATTATCTTCTTCCTTTCCTGACGTCGACGAAATGAGTTTGAACAGTATCCAGTTGAACGAGGAGACAGTTCAATGCGATCTTTAGACGGAGAGGAATTAATGAGAGAAGATTAAACTGAAGAAATAACGATTAGATTAATCGAATTTGTGGAGAATTGAACTGGAGGAATTGAGAATAGAGGGGTTCGAATTGGAACTATCAAGGGTGCAAAATCATATCGTGTGAAACTCCAGGAGATTCTGAACAAATCTAATCAGAATATAAGAGTTATAGAATACCTGAACTCAGGGAACCTGTATGAGACCTGAATCTTAGAATTTAAACCTGAGACCCATCGGACTCAAAACCACAAGCCAGCGACTCTGTGGATATAAGAACCCAAGCCTAAGATTTCCTAGTTCTTAGTCCTAGATCGCTTGGACCCATGGAGGTAATGCCAAAACCTCCAGACCCTAGGACGCAAGTTCAAGATCCCCAGGACCCAATCCAGAGACCCCTGAACTCAAAGCATCCAAGCCCAAGATCTCCTAGACCCAAGCTCAAGATCAGAGGATTCAAGTCTGAGACCCCCGGACTTAGGGACCCATTCGTTATCCTATGTTCGGAAGGCCTGGGATGTTTTGAGCTTGGGTCCTTGGGTCTCTGGATCTGTGGGGTCTCGGGCTTAGAACTAATGGGTCTTGAACTTGGGTCCTTGGGTTTGAGGAGTTTAAGATTTGGGTCCTTGAGTCTGAAGAGTTTGAGGTGTGGATCCTTGGGTCTGTGGGGTCTTGGACTTGGGTCCTTGGGTTTGAGGAGTTTAAGATTTGGGTCCTTGAGTCTGAAGAGTTTGAGGTGTGGATCCTTGGGTCTGTGGGGTCTTGGACTTGGGTCTTTGGATCTGTGGGGTCTTGGGCTTGGGTCCTTGGATTTGTGGGATCTTGGGCTTGGGTCCTTGGGACTAGGGGATTTTTTGGCTTGCGTCCTTGAGTTTTTACGGTCTTGGGCTTGGGTCCCTGGGTCTGTGGGATCTTGGGCTTGGGTCCTTGGGACTAGGGGATTTTGTGGCTTGCGTCCTTGAGTTTTTAGGGTCTTGGGCTTGGGTCCCTGGGTCTGTGGGATCTTGGGCTTGGGTCCTTGGGACTAGGGGATTTTGTGGCTTGCGTCCTTGAGTTTTTAGGGTCTTGGGCTTGGGTCCCTGGGTCTGCGAGGTCTTGGATTTGGGTCTCGGCTGTATTTGAAAATTTTAATATTTATCCAAGTCTCCGCTGGAACGTCAGGGCTTCGAACGTGCGTTCCCGCTCGTTTACAATATAGAGACGATGCGTGTAATCGGTTACACAACCGGGTTGGTTACGAAGTCACGAAGAAATGAGGCACGGCCGTCGTACAAATCCAAGTCACGAGCATCGATCGTCAGCGTGGCCAAGGAATGAAATCTTCCTTCCTACTTCGAGTGTGGCAACTGCGGCCTAGTGTCGTGTAATCGTCCCGACTGGTCCCAGAAACCGTACGTTCGATCGTTTCGTAGGTATTTTTTCATTCTCTTATTTCCACAGGTAACTGCTTCCTTTCCCTTCGAGGTCGTCCTTCGATCTCTACGCGATCCGTAGGAAAGTGAAAGCTAGAGAGTGGCCGTCAGGGCCCTCGAAATTCGGTAAAACAGAATTTAAAAGAGAAATTACTACTACGCTGTTTTTTTTTTTTTTTCTTCCTCATCACGGTACTTTATTATGGGATTAAACGTATCAGACGACCATTAGAAAATCGATCGTCGAACGGAAATTTATTTCCCACATACATTTTATCTGGTGTCTGCCTCTTGATGCTCGAGGGCCCTAACTTTTAATGGGACGGTAAATATTTTACTTGTATGTCGGTAAAATAACATAAGTTCAAGCGACCGTTTAATCCTCGCCACGGGGACAATGTCGCGCGGTAATTTGCCATTTTAAGTATGGTCACCGGTAACGATCGCGATCAACGATAATCACCCCGGTGGTAAATTGCACCTACTTAACCGTGGTCGTAGTAAATTAATTCTTAACAACGGCGTCGGTCTACGTACAACGAAAGTGAGAAATAGTCACGAAGGAGAAAGTGAACACAGCGTCATCGGTCGAGCATTCGTCGATGAGGCGCGATTGAAAAGAAAAAGACAGAAAAGAAAAATGATTATTTCTTAACCGTATATGTTCGTCGTGTATAGGGTAAGCCTGTCAGTTACTGAGTCCCCTCCCCCTGGTTATTGTATCCTTGCATTATTCTTTTGTACAGTAAATTACATAATCATTAAAAATCTTTTACACAGTAACTGAATTTTCATATGTATAAGGGCACAAATGATTATGTTTTTATTTTCATTACTATCGCAAATTAATTGTAATACTTAATTATAAAAAAAAATCCTACTTACTTAAGAGACAAAAATATAATTTAAAAAAGTTCCGAACAAAATATAAATAACTTTTTAATTGACCGAAAACTGAGTAACTGACACACTTACTGTACGGGACAAAAG